TTCGAAACACACACGGGAAAGACCTTGTCAGCTCTTGCCTGCATCTCGCCCTCTGCCGCCTTCACCACCCACCACCCACCACCCACCACTCCGTCACACTCTGGGCTGTCTGGCACTGGCAAACCACACTTCTCTTTTTTTCGCCGTCCCCGCCCTCCTCGCCAGGGCCCATCGTTCTCTCTTAAACTGGTTAAACTCCCGGCAGGTGGCCCATCCCATCCTCTTCTTGGCTTGGATCTCCTGATGCGGACCCACACTTTCTTTTGACTTGCCATCTGCCATAACATCTCCCCGTTCGCGTCCTGACATCGGCGGCTGCCGTCCCTCCATCCCACTGAACCCTCAGTCACTCCTTTGGCACACACCAACGACACTAGGTATCCGCCCCTCAAGACCTTGGTGGGGAAGAAAACTGTCTCGCCTCGTCTCTCTCGCCATTTATCACCACTACTCAAGAACAGAGTCGAGGTGGTGTCTGTTCCAGCAGCACCCGCTCCAAGCTCGCGACTAGGCGATTAGCGAAGTGCCCTTGCGACGGGGCAGCTCCAACATCAACCACAATCACGATGGACATGGACTATATGGACCCTTACCGCCGCCGCTATGCCGGTCTGACCATGCAGCCCTACACCGGTCACCAGCAGGCGCATCCGCAAGACGCGCCGTATCCATACTGGACCCCGTTTATGGCGTACTACCAACAGCAGCATCGGGAAGCAGCGCTGATGGGCCAGGGCAACATGCATCTCTCAAAGCCCGCAGAACCCAAGCCAAGGCTCGCAAAGGACGAGGTGGAGTTGTTGGAACGCGAGTTCTCAAAGAACCAGAAGCCGAGTAGCAGCACTAAGCGGGAACTAGCCGAGCAGATGGGCGTCGAGGTGCCGAGGATAAATGTATGTCGTGCGAGAGACTTTCTCCAAGCCGAGTCTTGGTTCGCTAACGCGTCGTGACAGAACTGGTTCCAGAACCGCCGAGCCAAGGAGAAGCAGATCAAGAAGACGGCCGAGTTTGAGGCTCAGCAAGCGAGGGAACGAGCGGCTTCCGATGCCGAATCCACCGGAGATCAGGACCAGGAATCGACCGGCAAGTTCTACCCCGACAGTAACCAGGACCAATCCGAAACCTTGTCCACCGCCACATTCGGACAAGACGACGACACGGTCCACAACGATTATGCCCAGCTCAAGACCGAACCTATCGATGCGATTACTCTCGCTTCTGTGCCTACTGCCTCAGCTTGCGAGAGCCCATCCGGACAACATGAATTTCAACCAACCACAACTACCTTCCCTTTTCGGCTTACAGCGACAACCACGGTTGACGGACTATCTCGCCCCGATTTCGATACACTAGTTCCTCAAAACAGTATGCCAATCGACGATGCAGGCGCGTTCAGTCCGTTTGCCGCCCCCGATTATTTTGCGATCCCCTCGGTTTCCCAGTTTTCGTCTGAAATGATAGCCTCAAATGCGCCCATCAATGGAGACAACCCCCTCCTGAGGCACCAAGTTTCGGTGGAGAGCCTCGCGTCATCCGAAGTTGTGTCGCCCGACTCAATGGTAGGCTCGTCGCCATCCACGGTGTCGGACCTGCGATTCAAGTCTCCACCCCCACCCGCCGATATCGCGGGTCGCAGAAAGAGCAGGCGGCCAGCACCGCTTGGCCTGTCGTCGCTGAGGGGGGGCCAGGACCAAAGACGGGTATTGAGATGCCGAGACGAGCGGACACGGTGAGCCCTATGAGACGAGTTTCTTCGGCAACAGGTAGCCTCCGCGGCCGTGTCCAAAAGTCCTTCATGGGGCCAGGCGGCCCTCGATCGCCCTTCCCCGTGGATCGCAACAGAGAGGTGCTTCTTCAGAGCCTCCCAGAGGCGCAGGCTCCAGCCATGCCATCTCTGAACAATGCTATGTCTCCAATGAGCCCCGAGAGGATTCTCAGCTCGGGGATGGGAGACTGCGCCGCAGGACCACAGGCTTCAGATGACGAACAAGGCTACCCGTTCGGCTCCTTGGGGGCGTTGGGCGGAGTTTCCCTTTACAACAACAATAACAACAACAATATCGAACCTATCAATTCGCCTCCGGGGACGCCAGGGTTGCACATGGGTTTTCGTGAAGGCTACTTCCCGGTTCCGATCGAACCTTCATGGAACTACGTGCCGCAGGACGAACCATTGCCGACACCAAGTCTTTGTAGCCACGGCGGATCCGAGCTAGAGTTCTCGATGGCGCCCCAACTTCCGGGCTATGTGGCAAGTCAGCCAGTGACGCCCTCGTTCCCGCCCACAATGGGTTCCCGCGTATGCTGGTTTCTTTGGCACAAGCGCAGGGCAAACGGAGTATCACTTCCCGGATTCATATCCAACCGAGACCTCGGCCCGGTCCTCACCTATCGTGCCTCCAAGGTCGAAGCAGTTTCAGTTTGCCCAGAATGTCACTCCTCAAGACTTCAACCCGGACAAATCATAATAATGCCTCCAAACACAAGGCCCCCTTTAAAACGCCTGGACCTCCCCGCCCTTGCGCTTCCCCATAAACGTGGGAGGCTGCAGTGTACTAACAGCATTCCGATTTCGCGCTTTTCTTTCTGCATCTGCACCGACTTGTTCCAATCTATGCTCCTGGCTTGAAACGCCAGGAAACCGCTCGTTTTTTTCTATTTCTTTTTTTTCTATTTCTTTTTTTCTATTTCTTTTTTTCTTTTTTTGTTGTTTTGGATCGGCTATTTCTTTAAAATATGTGACTTGGGAGGCATGATTTTTTAGGCTATGTACACGTGGCTACGGTTTCACGAGAAGGCGCATCAGCAACACATCACCGGCAAACGCAAGACGAAGACCACTTTTCTTTGATTGTAACGATAAACGGGCACAAAGTAAGGGTTTGAGGGTTGCTTTTACAGAAGGGTGAAGGGTCCGTTCCCGGCTCTCCAGATATACCCCTTTGTAGGGGCCAGGGAACTACCGGACAAGAAATCAAGCGAGGAGCATCCCTTGCAATACATCCGACCACACCTCACCTTTTCGTTCCCCCCTTTCTACCCCGTTGGAATACGGCGTCAGCCGCATGGTTTAATGGGCGTCATGGCGGCGGTTAAGGCAGGGACACCAAGATAAGACGTTCGGGCTGCGGGATGGAGAGGGGTGTGGAATGATTGACGGTAATCTGGCATCGAGTCAATCTGAGCTTTTTCAGTTTTGGCTTTAGATGTCGGCTAGGAGAGGACAATTGGATATATGGACGGACCCAGCCCAAGGAAAGGGAAGGAAGAGAAACAGGATCGGAGAACATTGTGTTGTATAGTATCCATGATACCGCGTTTCAGGCGCCATGCGAGTGCGAAGGTGGCTTGGAAACTCTACGTTTGGCCCGGCCGCCTATCTGTCACTACCTATGCTATGCAAGTCAACGTACCATATCTGATTGCGCGACAATCATTGTCACAACCTGTGCCTTGTCTTGTCTTGCTCTGCCCACTTGGACGACACGCGGCGGTGGATCAGAGGAATGGGCGTGTGATGTTGTTGGATTCCCGACGATCTGGGTGTGTATAAGACGGGTTGATATACGGGGCGTGCGCGTGCTTTTGAGGCTTTGGGGGATCGGCGGTAGGGTTGCTTCAGCACCGGCTCGTCCCGCTGCCGTCCACGTTTCATCCCCGTTGGCGCGCGCCCCCCCTTTAAATAAATCAAATCAATTAATAAACTCCGACTCCATGGGTCCGGTTTGGTTGGGCATGGTTGACGCCATCCGGGGGGGCGAGTTACCGCCGGGTAAAATGGTGTGGGTGATGTGATGGCTAATAATGAATGGATGTGTATAGTAGGGACTTCGTAGTTATCCGAGGACACTTTGCCGATGGCGCGACTTGGGCTGCCGCGTTTTTGGTTTGTGGTTTTTCGTGACATTTACTCGGTGCCCCCCTGGCTTGGAGAATGGATAAATGGAACCTTGGGGGTAAGTCTGTGAATAGCTTCGCCAGGATGACACCTCGATATCTTCATTACGTTAGATGATGCTGCTTGTCTCGTACTTCATTCTGACCCATTTGATGTGGGAAAATTGACACATGCCTTCTAGGTATCATCCACATTCTGGTGATCCGGCTATTCCTTATATGGAACAACCTGGCACCAGGAACCTGCACTTCGATTTTGACTGGACATGAAGTAAAGCAGTAAACACGTGTCTCGTTATTACACACCTCAGATGTCAATCTGAATACGACCGGTCAAACATTAAACTAGATACCACATGTGGTCGAGCTGTACCTGACGGGGAAAAGAGGAAGATGGGGAAGAAGGCAGGGAAGAGGGAGAAGCCCCCAGAGATGAAACGAGAAACCGTAAGTTAAGTGATAGTAGTGCGGGACCAAGTCGAGACCAGAAAAGAGAAGCCGCAAAACACCCAAACCACCAAGCCGATTGACAACCTGATCCCGCCCTTTCCCCACCAAGTTAAGCCTAACCCAACCTGACCTGACCCGACCCGAACCCCAACCCGACCTAACCTAGTATTTACATAGTTCAGAAACCCTCACCCACAAAAGTAGCCCGCATGGACGACGTGAGCGTGCTCGGCGTGTTCTGCATCGACCCGCTAGTATCGCTGTTCTGCGTGGAGGGCTCGACGACACGATTCCTAATCGTCATGGATCCACTCGTGCTGCAGTAGATCGACGGCTGTGTCGCGTTTCTTGGCGTCCGGGTTGGAAACAGCGCTTGAGGAAGTCAAATGCCTTGCGGCTGAGCTGGTCCGGCGAGGGCAACTGTGGCGGGTTGCCCTGTGCGATGTTATACATGATGGCCCACTCATTGTCAAGGTTGG